TTTTTTTTTAACATTTTTTGTTTTGTTTTTGTGTTTTTTTATTAATAACACATTTTGTAATATTATTTACTATATTTCTAATATAAATATTTTCTTGTTTTTGTTTTTTAACAAGACTGTTTTTTTCAATTTTTCTTTTCTTGACAAAGTTCGATAATACTGATGGAGTATGGTATTCGTAAATATTCTGACTAAGAACTTAACTTAAAATGAATTAAAAAAAATGGAAGTACTAAGACGTTATCAACTAGAACCATTAAAAGAAGAAGAGCAACGTATTTGTTCTTCATTAATAAAAGTTATGGAGTCTCAAAATGAAGAAGTAACAAAAAAGTATTTTGATTGGTTTTGGAAAGAAGAGAATCAAGTGATTATTGAACAGATTGTGTACAAAGTTCAACTTTCGTTTTTCACTCAATATTTATATTTCAATTATCTTCCAGTGAGAAGAACAGCTACTGAAACAATATTACAAGTACTAAAACATATGATTATTGTGGATAATAAAAAATTTATAATGAGATTAATGAGTGAGAATGATGTTTTTTTACATGAATTTGTTTTTATTTTAGAAGACCCAGAAATGAAAGAGTTTCAGACTGATGTTATTGGTATTATTCAAAGATGTGCTTTTATGGCTATTTCAAGTGAGACATTTATTAATTTAATTAAACCATTAACTGAGTTATTAACAATAACAAACCCAAATAATCGAATTCTTATTAGTACGCTTCAAACATTACTAACTCCATCTGATACAAAGTATCAAATTTTATTTGCTAAATATGATGGAATTAATAAGTTAGTTACATTGACTGATCAATCAAGTGATTTTGATATTCGGTTTTATTCAATGGAACTTCTTAAGGGAATGATAAAAAATAGACAAGAAAATATACGAATGGCATTTAATAAAAGAATATTTAATACAAGAATATTAAATGTGTTAATTAATATTTTAAATTCTAGAGAAGATAAATTAGTTTCACAAGCATTAGAATTGGTAGATTGTTTCTCATCTATTCCACAAAACATTGAACAAATGTTGAATTCTGATATATTTTATTATTTGTTAGAGTTTTTGACATTTCCTTTTGAACAAGGAGTAGATAAATATTCAATAGAAGCAGTATTACATTCATTATTACAAATTAGTGTTGTTCGTCCTGTTGTATTAAAATTAGCAGATGTTGGTTTACCATTGAAAATAATTAGTATATTAGAGGCACATTCATTTTTTACTGAGAAAGGTATTGGATGTGTTTGTGATTTGATAAGTAATCTTTGTAGATTCAATGAACCAAGACAACAATTCGTTCAATATGAATTAGCAAAAACATTACAAAGAGTTATTGAAGATGATTCATTAGATGAATATACTAAAGACAGTCTTGTTCAATTAAAAAGAAGGTTTGATAATATACAAATGAAAGAAGACTTGTTAAAGTCAGTTCAGAGTATATGTACTTCATCTTCTATTGAGAAGAAACAATTAAATAATATACAAGAATTATTATCGTGTATTGAAGAAGAAGGAAATCAAACTAAAGAGGAATTAAATGAAGATGATGTTATGAATGAAATCTATAATGCTGTTGATGATATTCCCCTAAGTGAAGAGTTAAAAGATATAAAATTAGATAGTATTCAACGACCAAATAGTTTATCTAATCAAATTGATAATACTCCACATAATCTCCTAAAGACTACAAAAGTACAAAACGAAAATGTTACACCTATAAATGATAATAAAGAAATTAATGAAGAAAATAATATCAGTAAAGAGGAAGTTTCAATAAAGGATAATGAAAAAAGACAAACAATGAGAACAGGGACTAAGAAAAAGGTTAATGTTGTAGAAAGAATGATTCAAGAGCAAAAAGAGAAAGAAACAACAACATTTAGTAAGAGAAATCATGGAAGTAATGATGGAAGACAAAATTTCTTATCACATCAACGAAATGAAAATGGTAATATGAAGAAGAAAATTAATATGGAAAAGACAGGAAGAATGGGAAGTGAAGTTATGAATATTCCAACAATGACAACAATTGCACAGAATCAAACAAGTCTTAATATTAGTTCAGACAATGCTAAAATATTAGCTGATTTAAATTTAAAGAAAGTTACTCGAAGACATGTTATACAAGAAATGTATACTACAGAGAAGACATATGTACAACAATTAAATCAAATTACTAAAGAAATTATGCCAGTAATGAAAAAAATAATGAAAGATGATGAATATCAAGAATTATTTAATAATATTGGAGAAATTTATGAAATCCATAAAACATTATTTAAACAAATAGAAGAACGATGGGAAGAACAAAAAGACATTCCATTAATTATTGTTTCTGATATTTATAATAAATTTTTTAGTGATCAAAAGACATATAATATTTATATGGAATATTATACTAAAGCAGACTCAGGACTTAATTTTAATTATCAACAATGTTCACCTGAGGTTATGAAACAAGCACTTGAATTTAAACAAAAGAGAATTCCAATAGATCAATTTTTAATTCAACCAATTCAAAGATTACCACGATATGTTTTATTATTAAAAGAATTAATTAAAGCTACACCAGAAATTATTATTGATGAATATAATTCACTTAAACAAGCACAATCAAAATGTGATAAAATTACAACTGAATTTAATTTAGCAACAAAGAAATTAAGAAGAATAAAACAATTAGAAGTATATAAAAACAGTATTGAAGGATTTAAACATGAAGAAAATCAAGAGTTTATTAGAGATGGTCAAATTGTTATTAAATATAAAAAGAGAAAGACATTATGTACTGTTGTTTTAATGAATAATGTTTGTTTCTTCCTTACAAAGAAGAAACAAATGTTTCATAAAATCATTGAAGTTTACTTTGATAAAGTTACAGGAGTAATTTTAAGAGAACCAAAGAAAAAAGGAGAATTGGAATGGTTAATTGAAATTGAATTTATACATGATGGAGATATTAGTTCTGTAGTAATGGTAATGGGAGTTGAATTACCATATCAAGAATGGTATAATGACCTTCATCAATGCATGACAAACTATTAAATATGTTTTGCTTTTTCATACAAATATTTATGGTTTATTAATTTAAAATTATTTGTTTAAATAATCAAAAATCAATTAATTATTGAAGAAAAATATTGTGTAAAAGTATTAATCATCGTACTAAGTTCAGAAATAGTCATGGATAATATTACTTTCTTTTTATTATAAATTTGGTCAAATTGTATCTTTAATGGTGTTTGTTTTTTCATTTCTTTTTCTCCACCAACAAATTCAATCATTTCTTTATTAGTAATTTCTTCACTACGAAGTTTTTCTAATTTTTTAAAATCATCTTTTGCCATTTCTAATTTATTTTGAGAAGTAGAATATAATTGTCTTAAAAAGTTGATCATCATAGATTCATTGTATGTTGTGCTGAAGATTTTTTCTGTTGGTTTTTGAACAATAACTTTAACAAGATATTCAAATGCACTTGACATAATATCATTCATATAACAATCTTCTTCTGATACTTTCTTTCCCATATTATTAACTTTTGTATGATTGACACATCTTACACTATAATTTCTAATATCAATCAACCATCTTAATAAATCACCAATAATAGGATGATCTCCATTTCCATTCCAAACATTAACAACAAACCGAATAATATCACTTTGAACTTCAAGATTATCTAATGTATAATTGATTATAACATTCCCTTCCATAGATCCTCTAATTAATCGTTCTGGAAATTTAACCATTGAAATAATTGCTGGTTTAATTCGAAGAAGTTCTTGAATTGAAAGAAGGTCATTTGGAGAACATCTGTCACTTACATTTCTCAATACCTTCCAAATATATTTATTTTTTGTAAGAACAATTGTATCTTGAAGGATTGAAAATATTCCTTGTCTTAATAATACTAAACATCCTTTATGTGTTGTTGAAAGAGCAAGTAATAAAGGAAATGCATACTCATTTAAAAATAATGTTGGTAATGATGCTAAAAGATATTCAGGACTATTATGATGTTGAATATATGATGCAAGTACTACTAAATGAGCTTGATTTAATGGTAAACTTGGCATAATATTTTTAACTTCTTCTGGTAAATCATATTTTTCTAATTCAAGCATTTTTGCAAATGATAATAAAGTACAATTTAAAATAATAGGATTACTTACAAAAATATTTAATGCACTTACAATGTTTTGAGATAATAATATTACTTCTGTTTCATCTTTTTGTAAAATACAATCATTTACAATTGCATTAGTTAATGTCAATAATGTCATTGTTAATGGTGTTAATGTTATAGAATTTCCTAATTTAATTAATTGTATAATAACATTACTATATTTTTTGAGTATTGAAATATCACTAACATTTGATAATATTGAAATAATTCCACATAAACTTTTAAAACATTCATATGCTTCACATTCTTCTTTAATATTAAGACAATACATTGTGTAAAAATCAAATACTTGAAGAATAGCATCTGAATTTGTTTGAGTTTGATTAATACGAGTATAATAATAATAAATATTTAACAACATTAAATTGATTTTATGAATAATTTCATCTCCATCAATTGATGGTCGAATAATTTTATTAAATATTGTTGATATAAATCCTTGTTCAATACAAATAAGCACTGTATTAGATACTCTACTATATAATAATGAATTAATAATTGATGAAGAAACATATTTGTTTTGAAGATTTCCATTTTCAAATAGTTTAATTAATGATTTAATAATTTCTTCATTAATACTATTCTCTCCTCTTTCAACTCCCATAACTCTTAATCCAAATTCATTTCCACCACTTCTTCTTAATGAAGTAGCAACAATATCAAGAGATGGTCCTCCAATTTCTAAATCTTCAATAAAAATAGGATATAATGACTCAAAAATTTGGTCTTGTTTAAAAACTTCATTTAATCTAATAATTGGCATCTTTTCTAATAACAATTCAAAAACTTTTAACCAACCATTTCCCATTTCAAAACTTATTCCAGCTTTTAATACAAATGAAATTAATCCAGGTTGTTGTTCAAAAAGATTAACAATAACACTACTTGGTGTTAATCTATTCTTAATATTTATTATATTTTCTGGAATATCATTAAACGTTAATAAAAATTGCAAAATATCATTAGCTATTCGTTTGATAAATGTTGGTGCACAAATTTCAGTTTCAATAGCTCGTGCTGAAAATGAAAATATTGTCATAATAGTATTTAATACTCCTGAAGTTGTTCTATACATTGAATCATTAATATGTTGTATAAATAATTCTGTTGGTAAATTAGGAATATCCTTTAAATTTTTAACACAATTAGATGGTATAATACGACTTGTAAGTTTAATTAATTCTGTAAACATTAATATAAATCTTCTTGAAATAGAATAACAAAACTTTCTTTCATTTCCTTTATATGGCTCACTTTCTTTTAAAACAAATTTTAATGTTGATGGTAATTTATTAAATGCTGAAATTAAAAATTTTGTTATAGGTGAAATTTCAACTAAATCTGCTTCAATTGTTGGAGGTAAGTTGTGAAGTAAAACAGTAAAAATTCTAACAAAAGATGATAGTAACAATAATCCATCAGTACTATCACATTCTCTAACTATATCCCAAGTACTATTTTGTTTAAATAAATTAGCTCGTTTAATAATTGAATTCCAAAATTGTTCAATATCATCAGTTCGTACAACAAGAATACTTAATAAGTCTAAACATACTGATTTGAATCTAACAGATAAATTACTTGTTAGTGCCTCTCCTAATAATGAAGCAAATGATATTTCAGAACATGCAAAATCAAATCCAATTCTTGGATTATATTTAAATATTTTTCTTAATAATTGAAGATATAAATAAACCCATTCTGTTTGTTCAACAACCATTCCTTTATTAACAAATCTTATTGTTGCTTGATTAAATATTTTGGAAACTTCATCCCATGAATATGGTGTTAAATTATTTGTTATTAAAATTTCATTTAATTTATCTGAACCTTCTTTACAATTACAAATAGCAATAAGAAATACTAATACAATTCCAATACATTTTTCATTTAATCCATACTTTAAAACATTTTCAACAAAACTAAATAATGGTTGTTTCCAAATAGAAATACTTTTATTACAATGGTGCATTGCAATAACAACACAATCTAATAACCTTGCTCCAAATTCAAATTGATACTCAAAAATATCTTTAACATTTTGTTCATCAATTGTAAGAATAAATGAAATTATCAACTGTGAATAAAATCCTAACCAAATTTCTCCATAATCTTCAAATACTGTTGATGTTAATGCTAATTCTGTTAAGATATTAGAAGTATTTATAAGTTTTCCTAATAATGAATTGACTAAACTATTTGTTTGTCTTTGAAGTCTCATAACAATTACATAAAGTAATCCATAGTATGGATCTTCTCTTAATTCTTCTAATAACCCAATATTTGTTCCATCTGAATTTGGTTGAAGAAAATCATTATTTTTATATCTAATAAATGAGTTAACAACACAATAGAAACATTTCATTTTAACTTCAATCATATTTGATTCTTCTGCTTTCTTTTGAATGTTATTAATCTTTTCCATATCTTGTTCATCAAACGATATAATTTTTGAGATTGTTGATAATAATAAAAATGCTGAATTTCTTATTAACATATCATCATCACAATCATATCTATTTAATATTTCATTTAACAAATCCTTAGCAAGTTTTGGTGCAATTGTTTTCAATTGATCATTTGGTGTTTCAAATATTTCTTTTAACTTAAGAAGAGTAGAAATAATTGATAATTGATAATGTGTTTGTAAATTACTAAGTGTAATTGCTACCTTTTTTCTTTTTAATAAGTAACATTGTGATACTGTTTCAATATCACTAATTTTATTATGTTGACAAAATTCATCAATAATTTTCTTTGGAATTGAAAGTGTTGTTTTATTCCCATTATCAACAATTGTACATTCTACACTACTAAATTCTCCATTTGTTTGTTTAACTCCTTCATATAAACATGACTCAATAGTTTCTGATAATGGTGCTTCAAATAATGTAGGATATTTATTTGGTGTTCTATTTTCTGGTGTGTCATTAATAAATGAATATCTATACACGACTTTAGTTTTTGAAACATCAATACTTTTAGCTGTTAATAATGTTCCATTTGATATTCTAAAATTTCCTTCTGAAGTAACACCTGGTAATTGAGTCGTTGACATACCTATTCCACCTAATCCACTTGTTGACAT